GGAACAAAACGTATAGTACAATTGCACTCTTTGTGTTTTCGATAAATCGCATCCCTTAAAATGCTTCTCGTACGAATCTATTAGTCTATTTTGGTATTATATAAAACAAATAATGAATGTTTTTTCGTGCAATGGTAAGAATATTTTCATTCGGTGAAATGTGGAATGTTCCATTCAACTCGGCTGTCGCCTCGTTGAATGGAACATTCCATCTTTCACCTCATAAAAATATTTTTACCATTGCACTCATAAACATTCATTATTTGTATACTATACAATCCTGTGTTAAATGTTTGAAATCTCTATATTCTCCAAAAAAACAAAATTCCAGACCGCGGTGTTACTTTGCATTATTATATGGCTTTTCAAAATTCTCTATTCTGATTGGTTGACAAGCGGTCCGTAAAAACCCATATCCGGACCGTGGTCCGTATTTTCCGTATCTGGTGTCCCGGATGTCGTTTATCTGGCGGGAAATTTTTGCTTTGCAAACAGAAAAAAATTTGCTTTTTAATTTTCCAATTGTGTGTCATTAAAATTTACAGATAAAAATTTCAAACAACCAAATTGTTTTTTATTGAGCATGCATGCCTACCGTATATTGTTACCCAGTGAAACTGATGATAGCCGATTTAATTCGCGCGAAAAGCAGTCTGTGCAGAGACTCAGTTCAGCCATATAACTAGAAATACATGCATGCAACAACCCCTCGCCTATATTTTCCAAACATTGTTTCAACATGAAGTATTCATAATTAAATCAACATTGAACACAGGCTCGCGTTGCACGTCATGTTAGTCATGGCAACACGAATCATGATTTTTTACATTTTTGTGCAAAGCTACGAAAAATAGATGAAACTTGAACATTTTTAAACACAGAACTATCAATTTCTAAAATATATAAAGTACGTAACTATATTACTTTGGTTTCTTTCGGCTTTATTTTAATGCAAAATTCAAAACGAAACTCTGGGTAAAACGTTTTTAAATGTGAATTGAAATCAGCTGCTTTTTGCCGATATTTATATAAACCGGCTTCAACTCAAGCTTCTACTTCAAGCTTCTACTTAATACTCGCACCTTGAAAGGAAATAAATTTAATTCGTACAGGACGCTGATGAAAATAATTTGCTTTCTTTTTTATAATCGCAAGCAATGCACAGGAATGACTTGAACATCAAGAACAAAGTCCACATTAATACAATTGAAACAAACTTGCCCTACACTTTAGGATTTCTCATACTAAATCAATTCTTATAAATGTTTACGTTTACAGTAAAAATGGTAAAAAGGTTTACAATTTGTTATGTGAAACGATTTTCCAAGCTTTCCAACATGCATTTTTTATATTTGTTGCCTCTTCACTCCTGGCAAACAGCCATATTCTGAGATCAGTGAGATGACCACCCACCGAATCACTCACGGTAACCCACGCCCGCGGTCATTGATGAACTTTAGACTCATTTAGACTTCGCTAATGCTTTCGTTTCTCGGGTGTAAATAGCGGGGGGAATTAGCACCCTCGCACGGCGCTTCGCGCCGTCGGCTCGGGGATAAACCGATTACTGACCTCGCTTGTTCGGTCTGTACTGTGAAATATCAGACCTCTGTTTTTTTGCATGGACTTCGCTCCTTCGTTGCTCGGTCCATACTAAAAAACCTCGGTCTGATATTTCACAGTACGGACCTCACGCTCGGTCAATAAGCCGTTAATATCGTACCCAGCAACAAATTTAAAATACTGTACCGTTAGTAAGTGTTCGTGAACATAAGGAGATAAAACATGAGGTCTGCAGGTCTTCATTATAGTACTAAAATCCTTGGCAGTAATTGTCCCTTTATTTAACTTGCATTGATAAAATGCTTGCTTTATATGTTCTTTCTGATAATCCTGAAAATAATAGAAAACAGTAACAAATTTAATCTGCGCGATGTTAATAAAATGAGGGTAGTGATATATGCACATACTAGCTGTACCATGCAGTTGTCATGGCTATAAATTGTACATTGTGAGTACATATGAAGATCAGTGGACTGAGGAATGTGATATTTCCATCATGCACCATTATTTTTTAAATCTTCATTCAGAGACTGTAGGGTACGAGTCAGCAGCTGTAACTCCCTTATATCACAGATATAAAAGCTTTTTTTCTGAATTGTGGATAAACTTACTGTAAATCTTGCTGCAATTCCTGTATAGCCTGCGTGCAACCTCAACCTGAATTTTTTAAATATCAAGTACTAAATAATTTAAAATTCGGGTTGAGGCTGCACGCAGGCTACGATTCCTGCGAATGTTTTTGTTTTAATAAAGGCATGCACTCACCTCTAATAATTGGGTAAATTCACTATATGGTATTTCTTTCAACTTGTCATCTCCAAAAAACCGCGTTATAAATGGAGATTCAAAATTGAAATGAAACTTTTGATGTTGCTGCGTTTTCATTATAACACGAGAAAACTCATCTAAATAAAGAACGTCATACTGTACATCCATTCTGAGCTGCATGTATAATTGTATTATTACTGAAAATCTTTAAACCAATATAATAAAAACAATAAAAGGACTAACACAATATCTCTTTTCCTGCTTGTCACGATCTTAGCAATCTAAGCGACTGATATACTGTACCTTCATTACTTTTCTGTTTAGACCTTTATTGCGAATTTTTGTATCGGCGGTATAGTTGTAATGATTGCATGCATTGTAAGCAAATAGAACTTTTGTAGAATATAATATTTTTCTTTTTAACTCACTTCAAACACTCATTAATAATGCATGCATAAGCTTATTGGCAAATCATGTCAACCATAATATGTCACGTGCAGTGGCTTTAAACCTGATAAAACACTCCTAATTAGTATTCTTTATATAAAGAAAACTAATAAGGCAGTATCTATTGTAGTCATGTCCTATTAGTATTTTTGATATAAAGAATACTAATAAGGCAGTAAATCTATTGAATTTGTAGTCGTGTTTGAAGCCGTTTAATAGACTCGCAGGTCGTGTTTTATTAGGTCTAAAGCCATGCACCCGCGCTGCGCGCTCGTGGCTTTAAACCTAATAAAACACTCCTGCTCGTTTATTAAACAGTACTTAAAATACTCATTAATAATTCATAAACCTTGTGGCAAATCATGTCACCCATAATGTGCATGGAGTACACTTTATATGCATGTCACCCATAATGTCCATAGTACGTGCATGATCATGGAGTGACTTTATATCTGATAAAACTCATCTTCATTATAGTATGCTTTATAAAATTGTTTATCCTAATTTATTTAGTAATAATGATTATATAATTGTTCATCCTAATTAGTATTCTTTTGTAGTCGTATTTTAAGCTATTCAAAACACTCGTTGTCGTGTTTTATCAGATATAGCGACGACGACGGCCAAACAAACTCCTTCAAATAAATTGTAGTAAAGTTGAAGACATGGGTTTTATAATTGGGAAGAGTTCTGCTGAACCTAGTTTGAAGTTGCACTTGTTGCGGCTTGAAATGCAGCCGTTGTATCAAGACGTGAAAGTCTGTGATTTGGCGTTGTAAACAGAGCGAGGACAATGTCTAAATTATTCATATATTCTAATTACTGTATTCAATTCTTTTCAATGATTTAGTGCATTGGTAGCCGTTTCATGCCGTCGTGTTGCCGTCCTAAATCGTAAGATCTCTATTAAAACGCTCGGCTGCGCCTCTCGTTTTATATCTAACAAAACACTTCTACTCGTGTAGAAGAGTAGTACTTAAATAGTACTTAGTGTGATATTTAAATATATATACTTGTGGGATCACATATACATATAGATCATCATTAATTAACTTGGTTACATTTTTTGCTCACAAATGACGAGCCTTTTAATATCAATACAGCGTTCTTACTGCACGTAAAAATGTTTGGGAAAATGTTACTACAGTATGTCGGACCTACAGGCTAGCTTCGGCAAATTCCTCTGCCTGCTCCTGGCTCTGATAATGAATTTGCAATTTTTTTATATATATTTATATATATCACCGAGGAACTTTTATCTACCAAATTTATTTGTTTATTTTCTCATATCCAGAATTTGAAGATGGAACTTTTATTCGCATTTTGCTTCGTATTGATGAAACTAAATAAATTACAATTTTACGTATTGTATATGCTAATTTATAATTTTATATAATTGCAGTTTTGGATGGAGCCCAACAAAGTATAGTGTTACAGTATCATTGAAAGTGTAAAACTTACCAAAACTAACAGAGCCTTTGCCATCCAAATCAAACAGTTGAAACACTATGCGAAATTGAGCATCCGGGCAACAGAGAAGAGACTCGAATGCAAGTAATTCGCTAAATGATATAAGCCTAAACAAAAACCCAATTTTTCAAACAATTATATGCATGTAATTACATGTACATGCAGTATATATATAGAATAACAAAGAAACGGGTATAAAAAAAGAACAATACAAAGTATTTAAAATACAGAAAAATCCTCATATAATCCGCAGGGCTTGAAATAGCGTGCTGCTAATGTCCAAAAGCAAAAAAAGGTGGAATAAATTTTTGTGCCAATTAAAGCGAAATTACAGTATACAAGCTAGTCACACTCAGGGTCTTAGATTTAGTAAATCTTTTTGTAAATTGGATTTTAGATCTTGGGTGTGTTTCTAAATTTCTAGGGTGTGCACATGCATGTCGTTCAACAGGCTATGATGTTCACAATATCCAATCAGAACACGTAGTCTATCGACCCTATAGTCAGCAACCAATCAACTCTTTCCTTCCAATTTTGAAAGTTATGTGTGAAATGAACCCGAAAACCCCCCGGCAATTTCACCAGAGGGTTATTCAATACAGGCGAAAATAAATACCCTCTGGCTCCGGGGTAACTAAATGGGCGAAGGCTTATTTAATTAACTACATATTGGATAAGTTGCAGGAAAGTATGGGTAATATCTTCATTCTTTGCAGTTTGTCATGGATTAAATGATAAAGGTCTGCATGATTTTGGGAAAAAAGATTATTAGCAAATTATTGCCCCCCCCCCCGGTTGCTACGGCCCTGTATATATGATGCTTGATTAACTGGGGGGGGTGAATATTTGGAATATCTAGATCGTCGGAAATGGCACTTTCAGAGTCTTCATTAATTTATATATTGATTATGATTCTGGAGATGCTATGAAATTTTATACTCGGAAAATGTCCTTCTCCTCCTGAGATCTTATCGTCTGGGACACAAATAGGGAATAAAAATTACGAGTCCTATAGATCTAATTACGAGAGCTATCATATATTGATTCCCAAGCTGTCTTAAAAAGTAGGATTCTATGAGAAAAAGTAGGAAAAAGTAGGAAAATCAAGCAATTTTTAATAAAAAATAGGAAAAGTAGGAAAGTTGAAGAAAAGTAGGAAAAAGTAGGAAAAGTGGGATGGCAAGAAAGCCTGTGCTTTGCAACCTAATACAAGTCCAGCTTACGCTCATATTTCGCACTGACACATAAAATAAGTTATTTTAGCCACTCTTAGGGTATTTAAAGCCATTTTAATACCATACGGTTCCCATTAACCATCAAAACGTCACAGTTACAGTACCAATATCAACAACTACAGTAAATTTACAAACTTCCTTACGACATAAATAGGAAGAAATTCTTTCTGTTGCAATTAGCAACACCTTATTTTATTAACCTACACGGCCTTATGTGTATAAACGAAGCCACGCTCATTTTATCTAGCTGCGTTTTTCCATCTTCGGCCGCGATAACACGGCCTTCTAGCTAAGACCCTGCCACACGTCACAGCATATAAAAGCAGTGTCGGCAACTTCGCGAAATATTGGGAGGACGAATTAGGCTATACCAACATACAGTACGACTTCCTTCAGTTTGTATTGCTGGAATATCGCTTAAATTTTAATCTACACTGCTTCCAAGACTTAAAAAGTATTGTTACAGCTTTGTTACACAGTTATTCACAAGGCTAGCGAGTAGTTTTTGACTACTTTTTAAAAACAGTATTTGTAGTTGTAGCGAACTACATTTTCAGTAGCGAAGTAGTTGAATGATTACCTTTCAAGCAACAACTGCTATATAGTATTCGCTACTTTTCAAATTTCTCATCAATGGACATGTATAAACAGAATAGATTATATGGTATCACACCAAACCTCACTAAGAGAGTGTCCAAATGTTTTGTCCTCTCAGTCCACCGCCAAGAACCTCAGAGTTTAATAAGGCTTTTTTACATTGCCAGTGCTCAGTTGATACAAAACTGTATACAGTAACTCGAGCTAAGTTCTCCGATAGCTTATCCGAGGTGGTTTTCATACACAAAGTCAAAGACAGATCATCCTTCCAGACATTTTGACAAATGATCCACATGTTGCCGCGTTAATTATGTCAGTGACAGCGGTTGATATACTACTATAGTACCTTTCTTATGCTCAAGTTTGTGTCAAAAATTTAAATACTCAATAAGTTAGCTACAGTACACTATAGGTCTATTTATCACCTATTTACGGTTGGTCTATTTGTCACCTTTCTTGCACTTCAAATTACAAATTAGAAGAAAATATTATATCAATGTAAATTGCAAAATAATGTAGATATTAGCACTTTATAGCAGATTGTAAAAACGTTCATGATCAGTGATTACCCAAATGAATAAAAACTGCTTAGAGCTACAGTATCGCATAAATTTGTTTTGAATTTGAATGAAGGCAAATTCCATTCATTTGATACAGTACTGTAACTGTATATCATGTTCGGTAGGCCAATAATGTATACTCATCTGCTTCTTTTTGACAAGTGTTAACAAATATAAGCAGCAAAACGCGTTTTGAAACCCATTTTGTGTGGTCTGCTGGGCATACTGTACGTATTCTATCTGACAGATAATGACAGTTACATTACATTTGATCAAAGATTTTCACATTTTAAAGTTTAAACATTATGTGAATGTTAAGAAAATGTAGGAAATATATCTTGAGTAATGTGTCTGTTAGTCAAATAGCTTTAAAATACAGAAAAAGGTTCGGATTGATAGAGGTACTGTACAACTACAGTATCTGAAAAATACAAGCAAACTTCTCCTTGTATTTTTCAGGTAGTTGCATCCCTATCAATCCTCACCTTTCTTGGTATTGCCACTACAGTAACTACACTGGCACAAACCATTCAAGATTATATCAACATTGAAACACAGTTATTTATTCTAATGAAAAATCATTAGCATTGCTGGAAATGGCATTTAAGCGCCTTAAACCTTCTCTATCACATGGCTATCCGGACCTTAAAACCACCAAGGCTATATGTAGACTATATCTGGACCATGCAAAGCATTTGGCCCAGATTCTTTCATTCATCATCTTCATTCTCAAGACCCTAAGTATCAAAACCTACATGGTGAAACCTACTAAAGAAAATACACCAGTCCTGCACTTTAAGATGGCTTTGATCACATTGTCTGGCGCATGTACTGTAACTTGGTGAAAAAAATACAATAAATTATAAAGCCTACCCATCTTTAGTTTGATCCACAACACCCGATAATAACTTTAATGTCTCTATATTATAGTTATCTTCTTTTTGCATTCCTAAAAATGTCCTTATAAAATCCTCTGGAGTCATGAACATCTCCTCATCTTCTTCAACTGTTGCATACTGTAAATGATTAAAATATAAATAAATTATGTTCATGATCGACAGTCTGTATTTATTTCGTAATTACATGTAGTACAGATCATGATCTACTGTATAATAAATCTCCTAAATATCTTTACCTGACATACTGTATATACTCCGGTTCTACAGGCAGTTAAACATGACTACAATCTGTGCACTGGAAAGTAGCTTGTGCGCAGACAGTATTACATTTTGCATGAAACAAATAGAAAATAAATTGAGCATAAAATGTATTATTAATATTATTATGCAGAAAAGCATCCAATTCTTAGGGCCTGCTCATACTGTATGAACCCAGTTGGAAGGAAAACTGACCAAGTGGGATAAATTATTTCTGTGCTCATATGACCATTTTTATCCCACCTAAAATTCTATAAATTAAAATGGAATTTTCAAAATATTTTTTTATTGTAATTGAACAAACTGTACATTGTAGCACAACTTTAATAGTATCTGCTTACAGTACTGTAGGCTTATTATTTTTTTCGTTCTTAAATTATAGGTCAAATTGGGCAAAAAAATGGCCATCATGGTCGGGTGGGATCAAGGCTTCACATGGAAAATTTTATCCCACTTGACTGAGGTCCCACCTAGTGCAAGGTGGGATTTTACCTAACCAGACTGGTTCAATTTTCTCATATGAACACAAATTGAACAGACCTTACTGGTCAAGTGTGGACAGCAATTTTCAGTTTAGCAAGCATTCCAAAATTATTTAATTATGTAGTACACACCATGTACAGTGGTATTTTTACATCAGGAATTTTTTACACTCAAGGCTGTGCAGGATTTTTTTCTTTTCACCCTGACATGCTTGCAGGATATTTTTAGGGATATTTTATCTGAATGATAAAATCATGCATTCGGGAATTTATGCACAATGTAAAGATAAATGTCTGTACTACTGTATTTTACATTAATATCTATGCATAATTATTTTAAAAAAAAACATGAAGATTTGCACAATCTTTTTTCTGGAGGTTTTGTCATACACAATATTTTTTTCCCAGGTGCTTGAATGTAAAGAATGCCATCTATATTTAATTTATTTCCCAAACAAGGTCAAGCTCCTGCAAAGTATTGGAGTAGATGGATAATCCAAGTGCCAATACATGTACACCTTTTATAACTATTAACCAGAAACGGTTGCGAAAAATGCAACACCTAGGTCCTCTGGCAGGAATTGAACGATAAGAGTACGGCCTAATCTTGTTTGGGGGGCACAGCATTAGTTTGCCGAGCGTCGCTAATGAATATTTCTCCTCAAAATTCTTGGCAAGTGAGAGGTCACATACCAAACATTTTCCCTTATATCCCATCATTTTCGCAGTCTGGTCACATACAAAAAATTTTCCACATACAAAAAATTTTCCACATATAAAAATTTTCCACATTCCACATAATTTTTCCAAAATTTTTATGTTTTGCCCCAATGAAGCATGGATTTCTGCCTGATGGATTTCTCCATGCAGCACAAATGCAACCTAAATTCATCCAAAGGAAGAATTTTTTGGTGCTGATTGCTTTTAAAAAGTCAGCGATTATAAAATTCGATTTGTAGTTCGATTAACTAAACACACTTTGGTGCAAGGTTTAAAAATTGATGGGTATTCAATATATAATTTAGGTAAGACTCCAACAGAAAAGTCATTGTGTTACAGTAGTTCGCTTTTCCGCAGAAAAAGGCATGCTTTATATTCCGATTTCAGTGATTCGTAAATATGTGATATATAACTAGTGCTCCAAGACATGGAAACAGATTTTAAAAAATGCCGAGACGTGCCGACTATGATGCCATCCTACATCAGATTTAGGTCAGCATTTTTTTGCCAACCTCAATTTTGACGGTTTTCAAGGGCTGCCCATGCCCCCCCCCCCCCGGCTGATACGCCTATGAATTGAACTTGCTACTCTGTGATTCTGGTGCAGTGCTCTATCCAACTGAGTTACAGAGGTCAGCTGGCAAACATCAACCACAGCGGTTAGAGCACTGCACCGGAAATGCATGGCCGCAGGTTCAATTCCTGCCAGAGTACCTAGTGTGGCATTTTTCGCAACTGTTCCCAGTTACAGTAGGTATAAAGTGTATATATATATTGTCACTTGGATTATCCACTTACTCCAATATTCAGTTTCAACCATGTGAAGAGCAGAAAATATTTCAAGTTCACCCTTCCTGCTGCCAAGTGCCTGGGACACAATTGCCATAGTTTTAATGTATATCAGGTGTGAATGAATAATATTGTATTTATTTAACCTGACCCGAAAGTCACGTACGTACAACGAGATTATTAATTTAATATACCCTTGAAAGTAAAATAGCAATTAATTCCAAGCGAATCCGCGATAACATCACACCTTGAACACATACAGTACTGTAAATTAACCTCAATGAACTTACCTTTAGAAAAATTTTCTTTAACGTCTCGGGGCTCGACTTTGTGACTGAGTACTGCAAAAATAGATGTCAGTTATATACTTATTTTATCGTGAAGTTCTGCTAGAAATTGGTTCGTTTCGCTTTCTGAGCCGGGGAATGTATCGTGCACTATCAATAATCAATTAATGCAGCGACTTACATCGGCTGACGGCCGGTTTGTTTTGCCATCTGAACAATAAGCTGGACTCAAAAGACGATATAATATAGATCGCGACCAATGTCTGTCTATGTCCATATTTTGCCAAAACGAGCCTTTGGCTCTCAGTAATTAAAAACAGAAAATCTAATATTCATAGCGCCATGTTTCTCTCATGTTTGTTGACATTGTCATTACTGGTAATAATAACTGGCCGTATTTATTTATTTGCCGACAAAAGCCAGAAAGCACGATTACTTGTCGATAGCTATTTAATACAATTTTTGATAAAATTCAATGCTATCGGATTCTCTTTCATTTAAAATAATCTAAAGCTATCTAACTTGTCGTGGATTAGAAATAATAGCATAAGGAACCTTTTTATTGCCAAATTGTACCATTGTACAATAATGCAACAATCGATTTACCGGCGACAAATTTTACGATTTTATGCATGCGCTGGTCGCGTGTATAAAAATCTTGGGAAAGGTAACACGTAAGGGAGCATATGGTTGGGTAAATTATTTTCAATATAAACATTCAACTGAACAAAATATGAAAATCCTTTATTTAACAACATGGGTCATTCATTCCGCACATACGGTCATTCCGCACATTCAGAAATATCCATTCATTCCCCACATACGGAAAATTAAACTCCAACTCCCCATCCCCTCTCATTACAACAACGAGATATGGTAGGACTGCAGAAAACGTGGAGGCTTGGACATAATATGAACTTGTGAAGGTACAAATGATTATATTTGACATTCAGTTAGTGCACCAAATATGCACAGTATACAAATAATGAATGTTTCTTCGTGCAATGGTAAGAATATTTTCATTCGGTGAAAGATGGAATGTTCCATTCAACGAGGCGACAGCCGAGTGACATATATTAAGACATGACATATATTAAGACAAATATACATCTTATCTTTGATTTGGATGGATAAAAGTTGTTTTTAACGGGAAATTTTTCATATTCTGGGTGCTTTTATCCGAACTATATATAAATTCGATATATAGACAACATGGTGCCCAATCGACTCTCTAATTTATTTGGGTTAAACAAACATGAAAATTTCGATTGTCAGTTCAATATTTTGTGGACGATTTTGGTATGATAGATTTCTTAAATTGAGATTTGTTTATTTTAAGTCTTTTAAGTCTTTTAAGTCGTGTTTTGAATCGTTTTAATTAATAAACGTTTACATTTGAACATTCACGATAAAACAAGTTCAAACTCATTGATGACCTTTTCACAGTCCGTGATTATTAAACATATACTTGCATATTTCTTACTTACATTTATACTTTCATATTTCAATTCATTTTAACAAATTGCATGGTAGTGACATTTGACAGGATGCATATGGCCGATGGCACAATTCAAATGGATCTTATAGTTTTGACGGGAAAAATTGAACGCGAAGACTGAAAACGTCAATCTTAATAATTTCATAGTACGGCAAACGTGAAACCGCTAATGGCAAACGTACCGCGGTTTGCGGTTAGGCGTAAATAAAATAAATGTCAATCTTAAGGTGTCTATTCTCGAGCTACGAAATCATGCAGACTGGTTATGCAAATGTGACTAATGCATATAATAAATATAATTAAAATTTGGGGTCACAGAAGCGCAGTTTTCGCCGGCACATTGTCCGTCGGAAAAAAATTTTGATATTTTCGGAAAACTTTCTGTCCGTGGAAAAAGTTCTTGAGTCTACTCAATGCCAAATGGCCTTTTATTCCGCCTTTACATTATGTGTTACAGGATAAAAGGATGAAAATCCCAAAATAACAGTTAATAGACTATTTCATTCAGAGTTAAAGTAATCATGTGTTTATTTTCTGACGATAGCCAGATATATATATTTCTGGTTTATATATATTTCTGTTTTTTCTGTTTATCAGTAACGTGTCAAGAAACGCCTGTAAAATCGCCAACGGGCAACGGCTTCAATTAATTTCCTATAGGCAGTTTCATGATGGCAATATCCGCAGAAATCATGCTACAAAAATCAGGACTGCATAATTTATGTGCTTGTTAGATATATAGCCTCAACCATTAGTCGACATGGTCCAAAACAGTGTGTCGACCAATCACATTTTACAATTTTTTTTGTTTTGCGGGAAATGTTCCTGACTGAAAATGGGCCTAAACACACTGTTATACATAATGTTACATGGTTCATATATAGCGTTATGTATATATTAACGTTACCTGGTGTTGCACATTCCGATCTGTGCTAAAGTGATTCAAGTATTCAACACCAATTTGAATGTCTGAATCTCGGTCTGAATACTGGTCCTGGAACTGCTGTATGCCAATTTCATACATGTGTAGTTTTGGACTGAAGATTAGCCTTTAGAAGAAGGAAAGTGGCGACATACGGTTATTAGGTGACAGGTAATCACTTGTTATTGTAGCCTTGCGGCTTTTCTCCGAATCCGATAGATGTGTATATGGGATCTTCCAAGTAGCTTGAATTCAAATCACGACTTATCTGGTGCAACAAAACATTGAATTTCTGCATGAAAATATACCGTTAGTGCTTGATTTAAGATATTGCCTGTCAAGTTAATCTGTTAATACGTACAACAGAGAATCGAAAACGGTGTTTTCCCTTACACATGAAAATTGCACTGCAGGTCCTATAGAAATGTCGCAGCATGATCGGGAATGATGATGTCAGACATGCATACTTAGCTATAAATGACCACAAATGATCACTTTAATTTAACACCCACGTTTGTTGCGACGCTTATTGTAGCTTTCAATTTTTTAACGGCAAGGAGGGTTTCAAGGTTAGGGTTGGGGGTTATAGCTAGGTTAAACTTTTACCGGCAATCTTGCATAGTGTTGTCTTTTCTGGTAAACCTCCTAAATGTAAGAGGAAAGCGAAGTATATTTTAGTTTGAATTCAAGTCATGTGCCTTGGCTATATATATATATACAGGCCCTCTTTAATTGTGATTGAAACGCTCGGCTTTAACTCTTTCTCAGCGCGTGGTTTCGCATTACATTACGATTCAATTTTTCTAATGTAAATATCTCGGCGAGTATTTACCCCCCCCCCCCTTTAAAATAAAACCCACCATTGAAATCCTCATAAAATAACCTTTCGAACGGGGG